ATCACTTGGCAGGTATAGTCGTGGCCAAGACTGAAAACAGGATCACCAGAAGCCAAAGCTGGCCCACAGACATTTTGTCTCTCTAGATGCAGTTTTAAAAATGCTCAGTTAGCCTTTAAATATTGAGAGATTTCTAGCTTCTCCTAAAAATTTGAAAGACAGCACTACATGGATGTACGTTACACAATGGGCCTCATGGCAACTCTGATGATGCCAAACAATGGCTGCCCCTCTTAGACAGGGTTTTTTTCTGAGCCAGTTGTTGGTCCCCAATGAAAGGGTTCGTTTTACTCATTAGGTTAGCTGTTTGCAAATCTTGATACAGGATATAGACAGGGCATAAGAAGCAAGAAAAGATGATAAAAATGGTTTAACATTGGAAAGAGGTAAGGAAGGCAAGAGAAAAAGGGAAAGAAAGGAGTGCACAGCAGACAGAAGCTGTATACCATAAAAAATTGCCTCCCTTGCTATCTTCAGGTTTATACTATGGAAGGGATCCATGACAAAGACTATGAGGTTTTGCTCTCAACAAATCCCTTTGGGCCATGCTCACAGTGTAGAAAATAAGAAGGAAAATTGTCCAAATGGAGCAATATCTCTGATCAAGGATGGGTACAAGGATAGGACCAGAAGAATGGAGGAAAATACCATGGGTTCTCTTCTTCCATACCCCATAAACTAAGGAATGTGGGCCATAACTTCATCTTCATTTTTGAGACTGTAGTGAACTATGGCAGGCACTGTCCAGGTACTTCTCATAAAAAACAGAGGTTCCATGTACAGCTCTGCAGGCTGTGCACTGCATAATTCCAGAAAAAACAAAATGAGAATGGCACTCCTGAGGAATGCAAAGTAGATATCCAGATATCCACATGGGTCATTTTCTCATCTCCTTTGGGTTCTAGCTCAAGGGCCACCTGTGAAGTGAGGCCTTCTCTGACCCCACTCCTGAATTTTTCAGTCACCATCTGATCTCTTATCCAGGACAGTACCTACTCCCCTTCACCATTTTATGCTTCCTTACAGTTCTTATCACCATCTCATATACAACACATTTATGTATTTTATTTATTGTTTGCCTTCCTAAATATAGAACAGAGCATCATGAGGTCAGAGACATTTTTCTATTTTATTTTTTGCTGCATTGCCAGAATATAGAGTTATGCATAGTAGGTGCACAACAAATTATCCAGAATGACTATATCCTCAATCACATTCGTAGAGTATAGGAATTAGCTTTCACTTGAACCTGTGATTCTCTGACTACATTTCATAATTGCTCTGACCATATTTCATAATAATCTTTTGTTATATTTAGAGAAATACGTTTTCAAATCCTATGGAACATTATATAATTTATATGGCTCATAAACTCTTATGTAATTTCTATGGGTCCTATAGCTACTACAGAAATTGAACACAACAGGAGTATCCTCCATAAACATATTTGTAGAAATTCACACAGTCACAGAAGAAATATGTATGCCTGCGTATGTGATTAGCCAGCTGTTTTGTTTGTGTGTGTGTGTTTTAATTGCACTGTGTTTAAACCTCCTGCTACAAATGCCAGATGTATGATTTTTCTCTCAATTATGTTTTACAGCTTATAAAAATACTTTTTCATTTTGTCCCTTGAAAAGCAAAGTAGTCAGATTTTACTGAATGTTTTTATTGAAACAAATCCCAAGGGAAATACACTAACTGTTAAATACAGCTGAAGAGATATCTGAGAATGGGCTTTCTAATAGAAGGGTTGATTACAAAATTATTCATAACTCTTAAATCTGATATGAACAGGAGAATGCCTCACATACATGAACAAAGATTTTCTTGGTATGCTTTACTACAAAAAGAGAAAGCAAGAAAAAGAACTGGAGAAAGAGAAGGTGAGAAAAACCCTAGAGGCCAGAAATATATATTCATCATTTATCACTAACCTAAGGATCCCAACATATTTCTCAGTGGAAATGCTTCAAACAGTTAACGTCATTGATGACTGGGCAGAAGCTGTATGGTGCTGTTGAGACAGCATGGGAGCTAGGCTCTTGCAGGCAGTTTTGTTGTCTAACGATGGGGAGGCTAAGATATTGCCTATATTGTAGGGTTGTTGTACTATCAGAAAGGTGATATCCTCAGAAGAAGCAGCTTGAAAATTTTAAGAGGTCTTTAAGTTCCAATCTTTTGATTGAAAAATAATATTTAATAGCAAATGGGATGGTTTCTAACAATGTCATTCTTGTGTGATATTCCCTTCATAATTACAGATCTTGGTTCCATTTTATATGTGTGTCATTTATCTGTACACCTAGATTGTAAACTCTTCCAGGGCAGATATTTAATTTCTTTCTTTTTAGAAAATGTTCCCATAGTACCAAACACATATAATGCTCTAGATACAGTTCTTAACTATTTTTGGTGAGGGAAATGTGAACCTGGCAGCTACTGTGTCTGCTAAATCAAAGTGATGGTGAATTAACATTAGTCAGTATATTTTCCATTTATTACTAAGAGGTGACTATTTATTTTGCACTGAGTAAAGCCCATGAAGAAATTATGTCCTGAGGGCTAGAGTCAAAGACAACAGTTTCATCATATACACCAGTGAGGTGAACACCCTGGCACTTGAGTTTCCTCCCCTTAAGGGGGCACAATTAGGAAATTTGGTATCCCATGAACAAACACAGCAGCCCAAGGAAAATATTAGGGATGATGGGAAAAAGAAAATAGATGATTCTGGTGAGAAGCATTAAACCTAATGACAGTGATGAAGAAACCATGAAAACGGAGAAATGGCACACACAAGGGCTTGGAAGCCACTCTGACCGAACTAAGGGAAAGGGGTGAGGAGGAAAGGGGCGGAGAGACAGGAGGTGCTCTGAATGTGCAGGGAGCTATAGACTCACATAGGTGCATCACCACAGGCACTGGTGCAGCCACCCAGAGAAAGGCGTGTGTCCTGAGAGGATGTTAGCCTTTTTGAGTTATTTACACTATCCTGAGATGACCACATATAAAAAAAAGTTTATTTGAGGTTATTATATAGATTTGTAAAAGGAAAATTAGACTAATGCTATTTTGGACTTTTTTTTTTTAACTAACAGCCAAGGAAATTGATTTCTAAAATGTATTTCTTAGTTTAATCCTCATTAAAACAAATTTAAAAAATTTAAGATTATAGTGGAACATGCTTATAAAGTTTTAAAATGAATTTGTAAGATGGGTATTTTTCTTGCTTAGAAAAGTGTCATTTTTCTTTTATTGTAGGTTTAAAAGTCATGAAAATACCAGTTATGAGTTTTCATACTGACTGGCTGTGACTAATCTTGTACATCTTTATCATTCAGATAAACTTCATCCACTAATTCTGAAGGCACAGAGTGCACATCTAATGTAAACCCCTATTTGTGATGCATTAAGAACAAAGCAATCTTTGAAAAGCAGTAGTCAGCAGACCATCTTCTATATGCCATAAATTCCATTAGGTTAAAATTAAAATATTTTTAGGTTAATAACTATAGGCTTATGCACTGTTAAGTGTGAAACCTGAGAAGAATTTTAAAAACAACAGTATATTTTATAGGCACTCAGACACATTTTTGGTACTACAGAAATTTCTTATGAATGATGTAAATTTTACCTGTGTTATCCAGCAGTTCAAAAAGAGTGAACACTGAATACACCACAGCCTTGTAGTCTATGATTGAACCAAACCACCTCACTTCTGTTCCATTGTGGAAGTTTACATGTTAAAACAAAGCCCGATATGCTTAGAGCTAGAAAGGAAAGCTATGTACCTGTAAATAATCCAAACAACACTTACAGTTTACATAAAAGCACAATTTATGTCCCAGTTGCACAGAGAAACATGATGTAGATTACTTTCAGATCATCTTCATGCAGAAAAAAGTCATTAATCAGCTATAACAGTTTAGCTGTAAAGAAAAATAATGTTTTTCTGAATCCATTTGCATGTGTCTGGCTAATGGAAACAGCAGAAAAACCTCCACCCAACTCTACAAAATGTGAAATCTTCTTAAATTCAAGAGAGACTCCAGATAGTCTATACTCTCTCCAATATCAGTTTTTACAATCCTATCATATTCATCGACCATCTTAATTTGGCAACTAAAATATCCTGATTATTTTGCCTAGGAGAGTCGACAATATTTCATTCTACCCAGTGCTTCTTTGAACACAAAAGTGTGATAAGGTAAAATACACTGAGCAAATATTCACGCATGAGCCACTGGAACCCTCAATTGCCAAATTTGCAAATGGCTCTTTTGAAATAGAAAAAATATGAAATGGGAAACAGTACTTTGTTGTAAATTCTGCACTGGCAATAATCAGTGAAAATACTTTCATTTGTGCTTTAATTACTGGGTTAGTACTAGCCACGCTATCCGACCTCTAGTTATAATCAGGTTTGCCTAATAAGATAAATGTCCGCCACAGTGCCCAAGCAAAGAGCGAAGGTACAATTGAAAATGATGGAGCACAAGTCCCGTGAATTTGCCAAAAATGAAGAATTCAGCCCTTCACAGAAACATCTGCCCCTCGGAAGGACCCTCACGTAATACAGATAGAGCAGGGTTAGGAACAAGGAAGTCTCTGGGTTCGAACCTTGTCAGCTGCATCACCGTGGACTGGGTGACCGGATCCCTTTTGTAAGGGCTGAGTCAGACCACAGCCTTGAAACATGCCTGGCCATAAACAGACATACAGTACTGCCTACCCCAGCGTCTCTCTCTCCCCTGAGTCATACAGGTGGCCGTTTGAAGCGAATCCTTAAAACGAAAAGCCCCATTCTAGTTTGGACC